GCTCTCCCGCACACCCGGCGGCCGGGCGCACTCCCCGGCGCACACGCCGGCACACAGCGCACACGCGGGCACCCGCGCCCGCCGCCGCCGCCGCCGCCCCGGGCGGGGGCCGGCCCGTCACGGCGCCGAGCCAATCAGCACCGAGGCGGGGGGGACACGGAGCCCGCACCGCGGACACCCGGTCCGCGGACACCGCCGCACGTGCGCACGCTCACACTCACACCCTCTCGCACCCTCGGGGGCGGCGCACCCTGCGCTCTACGGCCCACACGTGGACTTGGAGCCCGGCGCAGGTATCCGGGCAGGACGCCCGGAGTCTCGGAGACACAGACCCACCCTGGGATTCCCCGTGTGGACACACACGGGCCGGGATTCCACCGGCGCACTCACTCTTACATGCACGACCCTCGGACACACACAGTGCCTCCCATGGTGACACATTGGCTTGTACACACACTAGTTCAAGGACTGAGGCACAGAGACCAACTCAGGGGCACTTTTAGGTAAAAAACAAAAAGGAAACAAACCTCCTCCCTCCCCCCACAAAAATAACCCGGGGCTTGGAGAGGCCAGCCAGAGTTTAGGAGGCCTGCAGTGGTCATGAGTGCAGGCTCAGGGACTGGAGAGAAGGATTTGAATCCTAGCTGGGGGGCCTTGGGCAAGTTTCTTAACCTCTCTGAGCCTCAATTTCCATGTCTGTAAACAGGGATAATAGCACCTATGTCCTAGGTTGGTTGTGAGCTTTAAATGAAAGGGCCCAGGCAAAGCACCCAGCAGGCGCTTTGGTAATACCAGCGGTTCTTCAGCAAGGATGATTATGTTCTTCCCTCTTTCCTGCCTCCAGTCCCACCCCCAGGAGTAAGTCTCATCCTGAGATGGCGTCCTTTCTGAGGCCTGCCCTGCCATGCTTCAGCCCCATTGTACCTGGTGGGCCAAGTAGTCAGTCCCAGAAGCAAGTAAGAGACCTGTGGCCTCCTGGAGGTGGCTCCTGTGTATGAGTGCCCACTGGGGCACAGCCCTGACTCTGCCTCTGGCTTCTGACTGGCATAGACCACTGTTCCGCTCCCTCTGCCTTTGCTGCCAGCTCCTGTGGTCACTGGAGGAAGAGCTGGTCCCAGGGCTGGTGGTTATATAGGGTGAGTGGTCCCAGGGCTGCAGGTTATATAGAGTGAGTGGACCCAGGGCTGGAGATTATATAGGGTGAGGAAGGCCATTTAGGGAGTATGTCCTGTGAGTTGAATTCTATTTTGTGTGCTTTGCTCCTGTTTAAGCTTCACACAGCCCTGCAGGAGAGGTGCAGCTAAGGAAACAGGCGCTCAGAAAGGCCTCATTTGCCTTAAGTCACATAGCTGGCTAAAAGCTAGAGAGGTGCTCAGATCCAGACCTCCACTTCTTTACTCTGCATCTCTATTTCTTATAGAAAGAAGGAGACAACTCCATTTAGGAACTTTTTCTAACAGGTCTGAAAGACTGTCTCACAAATGTAGGGAGCCTCCTGTTACTGGAAGCATTCAAGCAGATGCTTGTTAGAGACTGTTCAAGGATGTTGTAAAGGGACCAGAGGGGTACGAGGAATAGATTGGACCAGACCCCCAAGTGAGAAACTCAAATGCCTGCATGAGGTAGGCACAGACCACTGTTCCGCTCACGAAACCTGTTAGGGGAGCATACCCAACTCCAGCTGATGTAACAGTGGAGCCAAATTCTCTGCATTTTCTAGAAAAATTGTATATATATACCTGGAACTTTTACTTAGTAGCTCCTAATTTTTACCATTGACAGAGAATGCAAACATTTTAATAACACCAGTGCTTGGGCAAACCTGTTGCCACAGCCCACAGGACTCTAGACCAGGGGTCCTCAAACTTTTTAAACAGGAGGCCAGTTCACTGTCCCTCAGACCATTGGAGGGCCGGACTGTGTCCCCAGGATAAGTCGGCTGCTAAGCAGGACAGGCAGCGGTGGCAAAAACAGCTGGCAGGCTGGATAAATGTCCTAGGCGGGCTGCATGTGGCCTGTGGGCCGTAGTTTGAGGACGCATGCTCTAGACTATTTTTCATTGCTTACGAGATGTAAGAGTTCATGGCTAGGAACTGAGTCCTGGGGGATCAGGGAAGTAGGAAGAGGAGAGGTATAAGAATGCAGACAGCACGTGGGACATGGTCACAAGCACTCACTGGCACCCCTATTTGTTGGTATGGGAAGCCTTGCTGGGGGTTGGTGTTCTCCATCCCTGTGCACACGTAGAGCCAGCCAAACATGGGTTTTGCCCATTTGGAGGGGAGAAAACGGAAGACGGTAAGTTTTTTTGCAGTTTTCCAGAAAACCCTTAGGATTTGGGGCACATGAGGTGTGGTTCCCAGTCAGAAGTCTGCGGCATGTTCCAAATCCTCTTTAGCAAAGTAAGAGATTCATTCTGCCACATGTTCTGCAGGTACTAAGAGCAGCGTGCTTTCATTTGTCTCTCTGCCCCCTAGGAAACTCCCAGGCTAGCCCAGCTCAGGTGTGCCCTACCCCCTGTTTCAAAATGGCAGCCTGCAGGTCTGCCAAGGGGAAGGAAGAGGTGCTTAGATAAACAGACATTTTCATCTGTTATGGGGCCCTTTGGGGAGATGGCACCTCCCATCTTCTCCTGAGGTGGAGCCGAGGAAGGCCCAGGTGGGTGGCTGGTACCTGCTCCCCTGAGTGAGGCAAGGCTTCCTCAGCTTCGCCATGGGCACTGTCATTCCCTGGGCACCCTTCAGGTGGGACTCTCTATCTGCTTTCTCATTGAATCCCTGCAATGCAGAGCTTCGCCCATTTCGAAGACAGGCACACTGACTGGGTGGACGTTCTGTGAGATCCATGCACAGAGTCCCTGATATTTGTGGTTTGTTTTGTCTCCTCTCCCTCCACTGAATTGTGAACTGCTTGAGAGCAGAGTCCACACCGGGTCCTGGCTGGGTCCTCCTGGTGCACAGTGGGTGCTCAGGGAATGTGTGCTGGACGACTAGGGATCAGAATGAGCAGGCATGCAAGAGGCTCACACTCCGCTGGCCAGCTGTGCCAGATGAGCTTTGCTGGAGAGCCGTTTCTGCGTTACAGGACAGGGCTGCATGTCTGGGCTGCTCTTCAGGTGTGCTAGCTATACCTGCTAGGTGGGCTTGACCTGAACTCTAGGGGCGAATCTGAGAGCACCCAGCCTCTCCCATCAGCACACTGGGACCTTGCTAGACAGAGCAGGCATGCTGGGGGTGGGGCAGGCCA